ATGAAATCACTTTCAACTGATCATTAATATCTCAATTTCTATCAGTCCCTACTCTTAATACTCACTTTGTTCATCATTAATTCACGAAGACGTTCTGTGGATGCCCATAAAAGCACCAGAAACTGGTGTACTTGATTCCAGAAAGCAAAAGATAGTGAAAAATGACGATAAAATAAGAGGAATAGTCGGTGGTGTAGAGATCGTGGGCAACTTTGTCGTCATCCTGAATATGATAGTCTTGAAAAAGAGCGGTTGAGATGTTAAAACAGCCATTTGGCTGCAAGTTGTACCTGTCGCGTAGGCAGGGCAGGAATTTGTAGTGCGAGATAAAGACGAAATAAGCTGTAAATAACTGTCGATATCGTTGCCCTCGAGAACGAAACATACCATATAACTTGGATCAAATACTTTTTCCGCTCTAGTCCGTTTTTCATTGGTGGAGCAAAAGTATTGAATATCTATCTGGTTTGAAACGTGTACTACTAGTTGGTAGATTGAATTCAATCATTTGGTTGGAGACAATATCTATGTTGATATAGAGAACGGAATTCAATCTTTTGAGTTCATGAATAATTTAGCTTTGTCAATAAGGGTATTGTAGACTGATACAAATGGAGGAGCGATGTTTCAAAATGATTACCGTCAAGGTAGGAGTACCCGAATGAGTATGAGTACCCGAACGCTACTAATGCTACTGTGACTTATTTCTAAATTTTTATGCAGTTTTCCTCCTTTTTTTTACTCTCAATTAAATTATGGCAGAAACAGAAAACTATAATCTATTCGATGCAAGTTCAATTTTTCAGATTTAAAATAGGTATCTTTTTATAATTTTAATTTTGTAATGGATTGTACTGACACGACACCTTCAGGTGCCATCTCTTAACCGAGTTGGTTACAAACGCTGGCCGGTGTAGCGTGTGTCAAACGGAAAATTTAGGTAACAACTACATAAAATCATTATTTACGGTGAAGAAAAGAATCGATTAAGTGATTAAAATCCAAAAATAGGGAAAGAAAGTGGTGAAATCGTAGAAAAATTGGTGTTCAAGTACTAACGCATTGAAAAATCGAACGTCGCTACACTCGAACGATCCACTTAACTTCACCTGTCAAATAAATTTTTCCGCACCTTATCATCCTTTTCTTCATCAAAATATTGTTCCGAGGAACAATTTATTGTTTAATGATTGATCTATCACAGGGGAAAATTGAAAAAGAGAAAGGAGAAAAATTACAGTGCAGGGGAGTTGGAGAAGGCACTGGTAGCTCTTAAAACTGGGCAAAGCTTAGGAGCAGTGAGCAGACTCTACCAAATACCAAAGACAACCCTTTATGAGAAAAATATAACAATTGTATATATAACTAATTGAATAAAGACTTTAATCAACTCCACGCGTTAGAAGAATCATTTAATGTGGTATATGAGCACAAGCAATTGTACCGTTTGGGATTAGGGCCTTTCGTCGTTCTGGTACTGATTCAAGAGCCATTTGACCATTCGGGTAGTGGTGCATCCACGGTAATATCATGTCTCTTTCAATTGGATACGGTATTTTGTTAGGAAAATCAGTAATTGTGTCTCGTCAATGATATAGGCAGAGTTTTGGTTCTTGTTGCCAACTTTGATTCATTTAATATAGGCAGACCGAGCTTGAAGAAAAAGTTTAGTTTTTCCGATTTTAGAGTAATCAAAATGCGTATTGTATTCAATAAAGAAAGATGACACCATCATTAAAATAGTTGGGGCGGTTTATTGATCAGAGTTAAAAGAATGTACAGGAAGATGAGTCTTCGAATAGATTTCCAAAGAGGACCACAATATCAAATGTTGCCCAAAGACAGTCGTTGCCAAGCGGGCTTCTTGTTATCTTCTGGGTGATAGACAATTGAAATGGGATTCGAAAGAGGACACGTAACAATACTACCTACAACTTCGTACTGGTCACACTGTATATTGGGAAGTTTCCAATCATCATATTTATCGATCGAATTTCGTGCGAAAATACTTTGAAAATGCATAGATAATCAGAATTTTCTCAAATTACATGTTGTAACATCATTTTTTTTATTAGTATTTTATGAAGCTTAAAAAAAACTCCTCATTTTTTCAAAAACTAAATTGTTTATTAAAACAATACTTTACTCTAGTACTCTAAAATTTGGGGATTCAATTATTGAAATTTAGGGTTGAAATTGGTAAGATTTAGGATTATATCCCTGGAGATTACTGACAAAATCACTCAATTTTCGGATTTCTAACTCGATAAATTTCAACTGGTGTAGATTCCTGAAAACTACAAGCTTTTTCTCCGGGTCGATCTGTATATGTACTGTGACGTATTTCTTACCTCTGCGGAAGATAATAGATACGCAGCCCTCAGCGACCCAAACGACAAACCAAAGGTTGGGCGCCAGAACGTATGAAACGTTCACCAAAATCGAAGACGAAATCAAACGAGCGATAAAATAAACAACGATGAGAGAGCGATCGCCGACAGCTCAGATCAACCGCGGAGGCGGCTGGGTTCCACAAAATCCGCTCTCAATAAAAATTACCCTGAAATGACTGGGTTCCTTATTACTAATAAATGATAAGAAGATTCAGACTTTCGGGGAGAAATATTATTTAATCAATTTCTAGAAACAAAATGTGAATCAGTTATCTAATTAATTAAACCCCGTTATTTTCGAATTATCTCTCTTTCCGTTATGCTCTAAATCACAATCAGAAAATCACAAAATTCATACACCGATCTAATGACTCGATATAAAATCAATTCCCTCAACGTCATCCATCGATTACTAAAATGCTAGTCAAAGATAATGTAAAATAACGTGAAGAAAATAAAGTAACTAACCGGATTACTGCAAGGTCTAATGTCACGACAAAGGAATCGATAAGAAGAACAACGAAAACTGTTGCGAGAAAAATAATTCAAAATTGTAGTCTGATTCTCAAACGACGCGATTCGGATTACCACGAGAAATACTAATAACAATTACCAGAGCCGGTGAATCTGCCTAACGCAAGGTCACGGCTACACGATACAACAATACGAAAATCAAGCATCGACAAAGACGCTGTAATTCCAAATCACGTCGATAATTCCTTCACTGTTCGGTAATGACAAAATTCTAAATCAAAGAAATAAAGTAATATACGAACAGCGATAATGCGAAAATTCCCTGAAGCTGAAACATTGCCCCGAGAATTCCACTTTGGATATCCGAATTTTTCCAAAGTGAATGCGAAACGAGAGTTGCTACTTACGACAAATATTTGAAACACTGAATTTCAATCGGAAGAATCCGACATAAATATTTCAAAAAAAAAAACTCGTAAATTGATACAATAAGAGGTTCACTGAATTTTTCCCGAAACCGTTATAATGCTCCGCTGAGCGAGAAACCAGATCTCGTCAAAATCCGAAAGCCAAAAATCTAATGGCGTCATTCGCCATGGACGAAAACCGTTTGTCCAAAAGAAAGCTAATTTCACGAGATCCCGCTCTCTATTACAATCAATAAATTAACGATTAATTAGATCCACCGTTCACCAGAACTGAAGAAGTCTCAGCAACAAATTCTCCGGAAAAAGTTGGGACTCCCCAATAAATCGTCAAAGCAAGATGTCGGAGACAACGAGAATTCGGGCGTCGGGACACAGTAATAATTTTGATAATTCACGAAAAACTTGCGAACTGTCAGTCTCGCCATCCAAACGAGAAGTCATCTCCTCGGCACGCTCGATGGCACATTTTCTCGATTGCCGAAAATCCAGCCCTCTCATTGGCTGTTACTTTCACCGAAGAGACTTTTGATTGGAGAGTGATGACGACGTCAACTTTCTCTCCACCGGAATCCACACCGGACAACCACGTGATTTCTCATTTTCCCTCCAAATCCACAGGGATAAAACCAAGCATTAAAAATGTAGTTCCAACTACTCACAAATCGCATAATGATAAATAACCATTAATTTATGTTTCGGGTCCTTTAACAATGGACCGAAAATATTATTTTCGCCTAGATTCATTCGGCGCTCGAGCTCTCCAATTCCGGCTCCAGTAGCTGGCGCCGCGACACGGCCAACCTGCGTACTCCTCCACCGGCGGGGATATTCAAACTCCAGATCCACCCCAGACTCTGCAGAACCGTTGCTCCGAGACCCAATTTCAGCATCTAAATTCTTGCATCTCATCCCAGTCCTCGTTTAGGCTCATCCAGATCCCCCGATGTGTTCCGATGAACGGTGGAGTGGAATGATTCAATACAAACCAAAAAGATACTCAATAAATAGTTGAACAAAAATCTAGATTTTGACTCTCGCTTCGCTTTCGCAGTGACTTCTCGTCTGGATGTTTAAATGAAACCGCAGAACGGTTGAAAGATAAAAATAACACGTTACAGTACATCCGCATGAAGCGGGCCCACTTTATCGATTCTAGTTTTCCGAGATATACACGTTTCTGTCTCAGCAACTCCCATTTAAACCAATGATGAATTATTTTCTACATCTTCTCCAGCAACGTCATTTTTCACACTATCAGGGTCGTTGCGGGCTTAAAATGTACAGAATGTTATCAGTATTATCGGAATATGCATAACTCCATGTCGACAAAGTTAGCCCTTTTCATGATGCGGACGGTTAAACATAGAAATTGCTCGTGGGGATTGAGAATTTTCCATGTGCTGTGAGTCAGTTGCACCTCATTTCGACTGCTCAGTACCATAATTTTTCTAGAAGTTGTATTGATTCTGCATCAATATGTTTTCCGAACGTTTATCATGGTTTTTATTAATGGAAATATAAATGAAAAGTTGGGAAAATCAAGGGAAAATTTGGTTGAAACTGGTACACTTTTTCACTTAATAAAGATGAACTTGTGTGAATTGATGAGAAGAAAACATGGGTATTTAATGCTACTCATTGATAATTACATGAAAGATTCATGCGAATAAAATGCCCAATTAATTTCCATCATGTTATGTTACAGATGGCCATTAAAATAATTAAAAAATTGGGGTGATGTGCACGCAATGGATGGTCCTGAATGCACCGTCGGTGGCCGTGGGGCCGACGAATCAATGGGGACCGTGGATTGTCAGCCAAGTCTGACGACTCCGACCGGACACAATCCGTTGGCGATTGGTGAAAGCGACAATGATCATCAGCGATGTAAATCGAATCACTCCACCTCATTACGGACATTAAAAAAGCCGGATCCTTATAGAGAACTGGAGCTGTATCTGGCCCGAGTCATTGTAAGTGCGGATGATATTTTTTACCTCATTTTTATCATTGAATAAATGTCGAAATGTTCACAAAGTAGCGGTTTCCATGCCACCTAATTCCAGATACTCAAATAGAGAATACATTTCTGGATAGCGCGAGAATGCTTGATAATATTGTACGATTTCATTAGTTCTAACCGATAATATTTCAATCTGAATAATTTTTATTTCTTCAATTTTTCTACTACGATCTAGATTTTTTATTAGTAATTAGAACACAGAATGCGCGCGTATTGTTTTCCATGGGTGCCAGCATAGTAAAACCTTACCGTTCCTCACTTTCACTCATTTTTATCTTGATAATAATGCAAAAATGAATGGTTTCACCAAAGTTTTTCACAATCAAAATTTAATTATTGAATAATTTATTCAGAATCGTCATAATCTTCTTCGTCTTTTTTTTCGTTTCTCTTTTGCTTTTTGCGTTCTTTTTCATTTTTAGGGATGTATTATGTACTATATACGTATACACTATGTCGTATATGTATTTTTTATTACAGTAAGAAATGAATTTTTCTTTTTTTTTTAATTACTGTACACAAAAGATTACAGTAGATGAATAAATATATATGAGGTATTCCATGCAAAATGAGTCAATGGCTGACCCTCACCCTCTTGAAAATTGATCGCGATTTTTTCTACAATTGGGAGGCTTGAAAAATTATCTCTCAAATTTTTTAAGATTTTTTTAACAGCCCAGTTGGGAGATATTTGTTTTTCAAATTGTTCCCTTTTTTAACAATAACTCGAGTTCTACTCATCCAATTTCGATTTATTAGGGATCCAAATTTTCCATTTTTTACCACCTATAATAAGAATGTTTTTTGTTCAAATTTTTTCCAATCTCTAGATGCTCGAAATAACGAATTTTCGAAAAAAAAATTTGAAAAACTTGAATTTGGCTAATAACGTCACGGTTGATTATTTTAATTTTTTTCAGTAATTCCTATAATCAAAACAAAAATTTTGAGCTGTCATACATGTTGGGTTTCGTCTTAGATCTATTTTATTTTCAATTTTTTATTCTCAAAATTCCGCGAATTCGGTCACAATACCCCAAAATGTCATTGGTTGACTTTGATTATAAACAATATGAAGTAAATTTAAATATATACCTATATATTCCATATTTTTTCGATACATAATTGAAGTCATTTTAAGGTGTTTTTACAAAATTTTCACAATTTTAAAAAGAAAAAAGAAAAAAAAATAGATCCTGGAGAACCCAACATGTATGACGGCTCAAAATTTTCGTTTTCATTATAAGAATTACTGAAAAAAAAATAATAATCGACCGTGACGTAATTGGCAAAATTCAAGTTTTTCAACTTTTTTTCGAAAATTCGTTATTTTGAGCATCTAAGATTGGAGAAAATTAAAAAAAAAGTTCTTATAGGTGCTGAAAAATGGAAAATTTTGCCCTCCAATAAATCGAAATCGGATGAGTAGAACTCGAGTTATTGTAAAAAACCGGAACAATTTGAAAAAAAATCATATTTCCGAACTGGGTTGTCAAAAAAATCTAAAAAAATTTGAGACATAGTTTTTCAAGCCTCCTCATCGTAGAAAAAATCGCCATCAACTTTCAAGAGGGTGAGGGTTAGCCGTTGACTCATTTGGCATGGAATACCTCATATAGACATCATATTACATTACTTGATAAGCGGATAATACAGGCTTCAAAAATCGTTATACTGGATTTTTTAAAAGTGAACGAAGAACGAATTTCGATTTGCTTAACGAGGTAATAATTTTCGTATTTCACAGTGAATATAAATTTTGTGGTGTTTAAGTGCCATTCACGATGTTACATTATTGTAGAAAACTACGATGTAAGTAATCACCTGAGGGGAAATTAACTTTTTTGCACGTTAATGTTTAATAGACTACCAAGCTGACGTCAGAGATAAGAATTCCTTTCCTGTCATAAAACTCCGTTGCATAAGCATATTTGGTGCTAGATATTTTTCTTGACTGATTGGTACCATTCTGACTGGACTTTTCTCTGAATTTCTCATAAAAGAATTACAAAAAATGTTCCGATTGCGTAAATTGATGGAAAAAATTTGTATCATATTTCGTACGGGTATTTTCAATTGAATACGCAATCTCACAACATGTTTGACATACCAGTCCAGGTTATCATTAGGGGTACAAGCCTCTGGGCATTCTCCCACTAGAAAGTCTTACATTATCCGTAAAATCGAGTCTTTATTTCTTCAAATGGGTCTGGCTTTATCATTATGCGATTCATAACACATGTGGTGAGGAAAATTATGGTTTTTACCATTAATTCGTACTCAAATGACTTTTCTAAAATACTAATTCGCCCATAATATGAAAGTCGGAGAATTATTTTAAACGTTGAGTAATAGTTTATGGTCAAGTTTCTTGATTTCTTTTCGTTCTAGGTAATTCCAATGTTAGATCGCTGGTTAAAGTGGGTGGGATTCTTCAGGATAAGTAATGGGGAGCTTGTACAAGATATCGGTCAGGTGAATGGTATGCGACTGAATGACAATTACCCGAGTAACGGGTCGGCTCAAGTGCATCTTGACAAATGACAGTTGTTTGCGAAATTTCTTTATTGAGATCGGGTAGATACGTTAATGGAGCTATAAATCTTCGTGTAGACTTTTTGTAACAATTTTCACATTTTGTTATAGTTTATTCAATTTAACGGTTACTGGCCAAAAGCGAAATTAGTTGTAGAATATTTTCTAGTCCGTAAGCTAGGGGGGTTTTTGCACACATTTTAGGTCGCGATGATTTTTTCATTGGATTCTATGTTTTTCGACCTGCTGAATCCGAATATGAAGGTCCGTGGCTTGAATTCCTGTGAGGTTTTTGTTATCAACAATTTTTCAATAAATAATTGAAAAATCGAATTTTCGGGTCGGGAAACCTTTTTTCTGTAAAATATACGCCATTTTAAGAGGGGTATGCGCTGAGCCATTTTTTCGTATTCGCAACTGTTCCATCAATAAAAAATCATAAACAAATGATTTTTTTAGGTATTTCCGAAAATATTGATTATTTTTTTTTTTTCGTATTTCACGTTGTTGCATGAGTTATTTATATGATACATCATGAATCATGGAGGAAAGGACTCAATTTATAGTAATTTAGTCATTTTTCAATAATTTGTTTGAATAAAAAAAAAATCAATTTTCGACGGAGAAATCAATTTTTCTGCATGTTAGAAGCGATTTGCAAAAGGTAAGTCCTCATATTTTCCCTAAAGTCAACTATTTGTTCATAAAAAAATGACGAAGAAATTAATTCCTCACAAATTCACCCGAAATTTAAAAAAGAGAAAATCCTGCAGATCGAAGATGTGGGATTAAATACTCGTTCTGTGCGAGTATTGAAAAATAATAAACCACCTGAAACTCACAGGATCCAGGACAATAAAAGTTTTCCACACTGCAGTTATTTCATCGTATATTCAGTATGACACGTTCCTTTGGTTTTACAAAAACAGAAACTGATACACGCAATTCCGACCTTCACACAGGCACATCTGTTATTGGAGCATTTTTGAACCGAGTGGCGATAAAAACTGATTGCATTTTGTTCACATAATTCATTACCGCAGAGGAAAGGCAGTTCCAGTAGATTTCGTCCGGAGGTCAGTTTCTGAGAAATATCTCGGAATCTAAAAAAAATTATAGAAATAGAAAAATTTCTCTAAAGAGCTTTTTTGTAGAGCAAGATGAGACTTTCAAAAAAGGTTTTCACAATAATCACGTCAGCTGCCTTAGATTCGAAAATATTCCTTGGAAACTGAGCGAGAATTCCACTCAAACCGTTTTACCTCTTCGTTATAGAATTGAAACTATCGCGATGGAAGATTTTCCTTCTTTATTGAAACAAATACAGCCATAAAAATGTTAATCTGCACTAAAAGTATTGATTTGTTCAAATTTGTTTGAATGAAATGCCTACGCAACGCAAATTCTGCAGGTTTTCTACTTCTGTAAAATTCGGGTGAATTTGTGAGGAATTAATTTCTTCATAATTTGTTTATGAACAAATGGTTGACTTTAGGGAAAATATTATGAGGACTTACCCTTTTCAAATTGCTTCTAACATGCAGAAAATTTTTTTTTCTCCGTCGAAAATTGATTTTTTTTTTATTTAAACAAATTATTGAAAAATGACTAATTTATTATAAATTGAGTCCTTTCCTCCATGATTCATGATGTATCATATAAATAACTCATGCAACAACGTGAAATACGAAAAAAAAATCAATATTTTCGAAAATAGGGGAGGGTGGGGCAAAACGGCTCCCCTTCAATTGTCAATAACTTGTGAATGACATTGTGAAAATTCCCAGTTTCAACTTCATTTTGAAGATAATTTTTCATTCTTCAAAACGAGCTCTAACTCATCCCAATCGGATTATTGAATCGGAAAATATTGACGATTGAAGGGGGGCCGTTTTGCCCCATCCTCCCCTACCTAGAAAAATCATTTGTTTATGATTTTTTATTGATGGAACCGTTCCGAATACGAAAAAATGGCTCAGGACATACCCCCCTTAAACTGGCGTATATTTTACAGAAAAAATGTTTCCCGACCCGGAAATTCGATTTTTCAATTATTTATTTAAAATCTGTCAATAACAAAAAAACTCACAGGAATTCGAGCCGCGGACCTTCATATTCGGATTCAGCAGGTCGAAAAACATAGAATCCAATAAAAAAATGATCGCGACCAAAAATGTGTGCAAAAACCCCCCTAGCTTACGGACTATTCATTCTATTTTCATAAAGACGGCGCGTTTAACGATTAATTCAAATATTATTGCACAAGGCACAATACTTACGGTGACAAATATTCATATTACTCCAGTTTAATGAATCAAATACACATATTTATAATTGGATTGATTACACTCATTTACATTATTGATTTTCCACCTTCGATATTGCTGTTCATTTATCCATTGGGTTATGTTTTTC